AATCCTTCAAAGGCAAGATAAAACCAGATAGCGCAAAGTTTGCATACCTCCTCTTTGGGGGGGTGGAGAGCCTTTTATAACCACGCGCACTCACTCCTAGACTTCTGTCAGGTCGGGAATGATTACTTCCGTGCTTCTGCCAGTTTGGGCGTCCTTTCCTCTGCTGGGGCAGAACCGTCACTGCCCTTTTTGTTGGAGCCGTCTCTGTAACTGGGGATGGCGGTGGCAAGTGACGGTGGCAGGTGGCCATTGAAGTGCGGCCGTCAAGCGTCAGATCCCAGGTCGGTCAGGTGCGCCGCCCCTGGATACGGACTCCTTCGGTGTCAGGTTCGGTGTGGTTTGTCCATTTCAATGCTTTGGAGGCGAAGTGCTTGGAGCGGTGTGCGAGGCGAAGTCTTGAGTTCGGATAGGGAGGTGTCCCGAACTGCCATGAGACGAGCTAGTTTGGGTCATTGCTTTGTGTGGCTCGGGGCCAAAGGGAGAGTTCGGGCTCCTCGTAGGGAGTTCGAGCTCTTAGTAGGGAGGTCAGGCTCCTTTTAGGGAGTTCGGGCCCCTTGTAGGGAGTTCGGGCTCCTCTTAGGGAGTTGGTCTCCTCGAGGGGAGTTCAGACTACTGGTCTCTTCCCTTTGGTGTTTGCACCCTAAGCATGCTGCTTTAAGATCCGAACTACTTGTTTTTTGCCACGTGGCGTGATTTGCGAGGTCGGGCCAAATCTTTCTTCATCAGTTTCAAACTCTATGATTGTTCACAATTAGTTCACAGTTAATGACTATTAACTGTGAGGTTTAGCCCAGATGTAGTTTTCCAAGTCGCTCTTGAAAGCTCAAAGACCATGTTATCACTCTCAACCAAAATATTATTCAAATTGAGATTTGAGCATAGTTGAAGACCATCTAGAAGAGCTTTAACTTCCGCTTCCAAGGGAGGTAACAAGAAAAACCAGCAATAGAATTTTCTTCAGAATCTCTAATGACCTCAGTTCGAATACATTGTCCACCTCAGTTGGACATGCATCTTGTTCTAGGTGGAGCATGGAACACATATTTTAACCACATCATTTGGCTTCCATTTTCGAGGGCGAGGTGCCTAATTGTCATAGTCAATTTCATCAATTGTGCCATCCATATGTCACCAATGTGCCACTAAGTGTATATTGGGTGAGACATTGTCTATTTTTTGTATATGGGGATGCCAATGTCATAGTTGTTATTATCAATATGATTATTCAACATTTTGATATAACCTATCTATGTTTTTTTTTTGACATAAAAGGAAGCCACTTCTTTACTATGTATAGTAGAAATCAAGGTTCAAAGTATCGATATGATATTCGACCGATACGTATCGTTCCGAGACCCCTCCGATACATCCCTATAGTGGATAGCCATCAATTTGTAGACTATTTGTGTGGAGATTGTTAACATTATTATTTGTTAAATTTGTACAAGATATGGCTGTGTAGCCTCCAATATTAGTTGTGTGAATATTGCCCCCTGTTCTAAGATTTGTATGGGTGATGGAGGTATATTCTCAAAATAGCATATTGTTTCTTGCTTTCCATATGAGGTACAATAGGACACAACCTTTGCTAAGGAGTGTTGCAAGTTTCCTTGGTTGTGAGAAAGGCTCAAAGTATCAATATTGCATATTGGCTTGTATCGGTGCTTTTTTTTAATGTTTTATTTATTTATTTTTTCAAAACCTGTTCAAAGGAGTTGGTTTAAGTCTTGAATACCTTCTGAACCATGGTCTAACTCGATACAACCCCTGTAAGGAATACGGATCAGCCAATACGGGTCAATACATGTCGATACTTTGAACCATGGTTGTGATTGTGAGGGTTCTTAATGATTTCAACCATTTGTGATTATTACATGGATTAGCTGAAAATGTTACCTTATTTGGATTCATGACTACTTGCGCATGGCACTAGATTGCACGTGCAAATGCAAATTGAGGGAGATGGTGGGGGTCAGGGTGTCTCCAATTCAAGACCAAATCAGCCCCCACAAGATTGCCCCCACAGCACATCTCTGCCTGTGTATTAAGAACATTTTCCAATGATAACATCATCATTTATGATATTATCATTGGAAAATGTTTCCAATACACCGCGAGGATGTGCTGTGAGACGTTGTGGGGGGCTGATTTGAACTCATCCAATTCCTAATGGCAAAGAGAGATGTGGAATCCAAGTGAAGCATTTGTCTTTAGTGAGAATTCCTCTCCAAAGAAGTTTCCACACAAAGAGTTGATATCTTGATGGGATTTTAATTCTCCATAAAGCTTTCCATTCAAAATGAGGTATCGAGGATGACAGAGAGGATAAAGAGAGTTGGTGGGACTACGAGTGGTTACTGGAATGCGCCACAATCACAACTACTGGAGTATTGGTTTTCAGAATTGCAACAAAAAATTGCGTGGTTAATTGATCAGTTTCAAGCTTGAAACAGATAAAGCCAAAATTCAGACTAGTCTGATCCAAATTGCAACCAAAAATTGCGTGGGACTACGAGTGATTACTGGAATGCGCCAACCCAAATTGCATCCTTATATATGTAGAGCGAAGACGACAAAGAATTGCATTCTCTTTGATGGTTACTACTACTTTCTAACATTACTCATAAATAGAATTTAAGAACATAAGGAGGCTACACCTATCGGAGTCCGGCGTCTCCTCATTTTGAACGACGATCAGTGACATCTCAACTACTGGGTCTTTGGCAATGTGTCTAGTCTGTTAAAAGTCTGCTCCGGACTCTGGGCTCTAGAGGTTTTACAAGCAACAATAACAGCAATCGCTATGGCTACAACAGCAGCAACTACTACACCCTTCTTTTATCGGCCCCGTCAAAGCCGGACGGAGAATCCTCTCAGAAATCAAGATGGAGCCATCTGCTACAGACCTTGTTCAAAAATCACTCTTTTCTCTTATTCGAAATCTAGGTTCTCAACCTCTGTTACCGCCTCCACCTTTCTCGGCAAAACAGTTAGTCAAGAAAAAAACGATTTGAACACAGAAATTTGCAGATGCTGTGAATTGGGTAACCTAAGAAACGCCATGGATTTACTCTGCAACCGTCAAACTTCCCAGATTGATTCAAGGACTTACTGTTCTATCTTGCAGCTCTGTGCTGACCTTAAGTCGCTAAATGATGGTAGGAAGGTTCACTCAATCATATCTTCTAGTGGCGTCGAAATTGACAGCCTTTTGGGTTCTAAACTAGTGTTTATGTACGCCACTTGTGGAGATCTGGGAGAAGGGAGACGGGTTTTTGATGGTATCCAGAAAGAGAAGGTTTTTCTTTGGAACCTCCTCATGAACGAATATGCAAAGATTGGGAATTTCAGAGAAAGTATCCGTTTGTTTAAGCAGATGCTGGAGTTGGGAATTGATGCAAATTCTTATACAATGTCTTGTGTTTTCAAGTGTTTTGCTGCGTTGGGAAGCGTAGTTGAAGGTGAACAGGTTCATGGGTATTTGCTAAAATCGGGTTTTGATTCCTACAGTGCTGTTGGAAATTCTTTGATTGCTTTCTATTCCAAGTGCAAGAAGATTCAGAGTGCACGTGAAGTGTTTGATGAGTTGAGTGATCGTGATACCATATCATGGAATTCAATGATAAGTGGGTATGTCTCAAATGGTCTTGCTGAAGAGGGACTTAAACTTTTCATTCAAATGCCGCTTTCTGGAGTTGATTTGGATTTAACTACGATGATCAGTATTCTACCTGCTTGTGCAGAGATAGGTAGTCTTTACTTGTGTAGGGCGCTTCATGGGTATGGGATAAAAGCCCATTTTGACAGTGAGGTTACCTTTAATAATACTTTACTAGACCTGTACTCAAAATGTGGTGATTTGGATGCTGCAACACGAGTTTTTGTAAAGATGGATAAAAGGAGTGTTGTATCATGGACTTCTATGATGGCCGGGTATACTAGAGAAGGACAATACGATAGGGCAATCAATTTGTTCAAGGAAATGGAAGAAGAAGGTATAAAGCCAGATATATTTACAATTACAAGCATTCTTCATGCTTGTGCGTGTAATGGATCATTAGAAAGTGGTAAGGATGTGCACAATTATGTGAGATCAAGCAACTTGCAGTTTCATGTATTTGTTGCCAATGCTATTATGGATATGTATGCAAAATGTGGAAGCATGGAAGATGCTCGATCTGTTTTTGATCAGATGCCTGTGAGAGATACTGTATCGTGGAATACCATGATTGGAGGTTACTCAAGAAACTGTCTTCCCAATGATGCACTGGGTCTGTTCATCCAAATGCAAAATGAATTGAAACCAAATGTTGTAACCATGGCTTGTGTTCTTCCTGCCTGTGCCAGCCTTTCAGCCTTAAAGAGAGGCCAAGAGATCCATAGCCATGTGATGAGAAATGGGTTTTTCTCTGACCTTTATGTGGCCAATGCTCTTGTTGACATGTATGTGAAGTGTGGAGCATTGGTGCATGCACGTAGGCTCTTCGACAGGATGCCTACGAAGGATCTGATTTCATGGACAGTGATGATTTCTGGATATGGCATGCATGGATGTGGCAGAGAAGTGATTTCTGTTTTCAATGAAATGCGACGTACAGGTGTTGAACCAAATGGGCTTTCCTTCATTTCTATACTATATGCTTGCAGCCATTCAGGATTAATAGATGAAGGGTGGAGGTTCTTTAACATAATGAAAAATGACTGTAAGATTGAACCCAAGTTGGATCACTATGCCTGCATGGTGGATCTCCTTGCCCGGGCAGGCCATTTAACTAAGGCATACAAGTTCATCCAAATGATGCCAATTAAACCAGATTCAACAGTATGGGGTGCATTGCTCTTTGGTTGCAGGATTCACCATGATGTCAAATTAGCTGAGAGGGTGGCGGAACAGATTTTTGAACTTGAACCTGAGAATACAAGGTATTATGTACTTCTATCTAATATATATGCGGAAGCAGAGAAGTGGGAAGAGGTGAAGAAATTGAGGGAGAGGATTGACCGACGCAGTTTTAGAAAGAAACCAGAATGTAGTTGGATAGAGATCAAGAAAAGGTATCATGTTTTTGTATCAGGGGACAGATCAAACCCACATGCCAAGAAGATAGAATCATTCTTGAAAAGAGTGAGGACAAAGATGGAGGTTGAAGGGCATCTTCCAAAGAAGAGATATGCTTTGTTGAATGGGGGTAATATAGAGAAGGAACAGGCTCTCTGTGGGCACAGCGAGAAGATGGCCATGGCTTTTGGAATTCTGAGCTTGCCATCTGGTAAAATCACAAGGGTCACCAAGAATCGAGATGTGTGCAGTGACTGTCATGAGATGGGAAAATTCTTGTCCAAGATGGATGATAGGGAGATTGTCTTGAGAGATTCTAATCGATTTCACCATTTTGAGCATGGACGATGTTCCTGCAGAGGATAATGGTGAGCCAAGTATGAGAGGGTTTTGAAATCTCAATGATCCAATTATCCAGAAATATCTACTTGATGGTCACTCTCGTTTGCCTTGCAGAGGAAACTGCTAAGTCAAATATAAGTAGAGTTCGAAATCCAAATGGTCCAATTATCTATACATAACTAGATATAATCTTCAGTCATCAATTCTTGATTCTTAACAGCTGATCTGTGGATTATTGCAACTTAAAGTTCTTTAGCAGCAATGGTATGATTCTGGAAGCAAAATCTCACATTGAGGATTAGAAACAACAATTGAAATGAGATTTATATATTTTTGTCCACTTTACCATAGTCTGGTTATTTTCCCAAGGAAAACCCTAGCTCTCTTATTGGACAAGAAAGTGGGATTTAATACTCCATGGAATCTACCCAACTATACAACTTGAGTTGTGGTGCACTGAACTCTGCTATGTTGTCTCAGTGGTCCAGGTTTAATTTGTACCATTCCAGAACCTTGATTGTCGATTTGTGGAGATATAAAAATGTTTTTCTCTATGTCAAAGGCCATGCTCTTTTTTCTGGGCATATTCACTATTCCCTTTGTATTACCATTGCTTCTTACTTCCAGTATTTGCAGAGGGATTAGCGAAAAAAGATGGATGAAACAAAAAAGATGGATGAAGCAGAAAATTGACTACCATGTGAATCTTAAGACATCAGTCAAAGTCTTCCTGTTGTCAACATAGCCGTTAACAAATTTATATACCATTTAACATTCTGCAATGAAGGTTTTGATTTCAGTTAAACCGTTCCTGGATTGGGGAGAACCAGGGCTGGGAATTGCTCTGTAATGCTTCTGTAACATATTGAAAATTCTGAAATGTAGTGGGTAAGCAAAAATGGCCTTGTATATATATATATATACATGATTTCTATCTATTTTTCTGACGTAAAATGTAGAACCCCCTCATGAAAATTAAAAACGATAAAGTTTGAGAAGTTTTCACCGTCTTATATTGTGAAAATAGTTAAAACACATTAATTTTCTAGGGCTTTTTCCTTCTGAAAATCACCTCCATAAAATAACCACTTCAGGAAACATTGTCATGGTTCCCATAGAACATGCAAGAAAACAACTCAAAACATCTATTTTAGTATTTTGTAACATTATATGGAACCATATGATATCTCCAATCCCCTCCCCAAATTCCCCTTTAAGATGAGCCCTTTTCTTACATTGTTTTGTGAGGAGATTAGGCTTTAGTTTTAGGATCTCTTTTGGCATCCTCAGGTAGCTGAGGGTGGAAAGTTCTTCCCCATCAGACAGCATATTTTTAACTATCAATGAAGAGATACTTCACTCAGCTCTCTTTAAATTGTAGATTCAACATTTAAACCCAATCTCTCTCTCTCTCTCTCACACCCACACACACACCCACACACAGAAATTTGAGTGAAACTAATCCATGAAGTAAGATTCTTACTCAAATGTGTAGATGAAAAAGAGGATCATGTTGGCATCATTTGTGAAAGGGGAAAAATTAGGGCAATAATCTTCGACCCATTCCTCCCTTTTCCCTCACAATTTTTTTGTTCATTTTTTTTTACTTTTCTAGATTTATCTGTAATCTATCTATTTGACTGTACAAGTCTAGCCTTATCCAGTAAGCCTGCCAAAATAAACTTAAATTTCCTGGAAATAACAAATTGTCCTAGTAAATTAATGCTTCAGGCCAAAAAGGAAATTTCGTCTGTGAAAATGGTTTTTTATAAGAAGTACTTGGCAGCTAATGCCCATTAAGCCATTCTATGAAAAGTTGGTGGGTGTATTCAAACTGGTTGCAGATCTTGGTTCCTGCATGAATGCCAAATTAGGACTGTAAGTTGTCTGGGCAATTAGATCTGACGTCTTAATTCGTCCATTGAGAGAGAGACCCAGCTCGCACCATGTCCAGGTATTCTTATTGTGGTCGGACTGGTTCATAGGATACTCCTTAAGGACCACCTTCAACAGGATCTAGTCCTTTTCTCTTTTCTTCCCCCAGTAAGTGGAAACAGAGTCCAATTGGACCAACTCAGAATGTATTTGGGACATTACCAATAAAATTAAAAAATATTGCTTCCATTTGAAAATATGCTTTTTGAATATGCAACAAGTCTGAGTTTGATGAATAGATACAAACAAAATGGGTCCAATGGCCTGAGTCATGGCAAAAAAAATATCCAACCACACAAGAGCTGTATATTCTTCTTTGTGTTTTCTTGGTTTTTTGCACAACATATTCCATTATTCATCAAATAAAACTCAAGGATTGGAGATAGGAAGTCTATGACCATAAGTCATGAGTTGGTCTGTTTACATTTGGAAAGCAAGTTATAATTAATCACGCAATGTACTACATTGTTTACACTTTACAGAGTGTTGGTGCGATGGTAAGGCGACGGAGGTTGGTCAAGTCTCCGAAGGTTGAGGAGATGGTAGGAAAGAGAGAATGTTAGGAGGATTGTAGAGGACAGTGGGAGAATATAAGAGGAGGAAGAAAGAGAGACAGGGAAAGAGACAAAGTCAAAGTTACATCATATATATTGTCTACTTGGGGGAGAATTGTTCCCCCTTTTATAGAGAGAAACCCAAGGCTGTAAGGAGAAGGATTTAAAAGGAGACATTTCTTATTAGGAAAATGGGTCTTTATCTTTATGTCAATTATTAAGAGAGCACAATCGGGGTTTTGCCACGCGTCTAGTGTGATCCTTCAAGAACAAGGTTTCCTTTCTCTTGAAGATTCTCACGTGGTACATGTAGGCTACATCCCCTTACGGGTTTCTTAGTGGCCACGTGTTAAAGGACAAGACCTGATTGGCGATGTTATCGCAAGTCTCAGGCGACGCCCATTGTTCACCGTGGGTCCCAAGAGGTGTTTTATGCTTATTGCAAGTCTTGGATGGCCTTCTGTGCTTATCGCAGATCCCAGGTAGTTTTTAAGCTCATCGCAATTTCTGCGATGTCAATTAAGCTCATCGCAAGTCTGCAATGGTTATTAAGCTCATTGCAAGTCTACGATAATTATTAAGCTCATCGCAGGTTCAGGGAGATTCCATGTAATGTTAGATTTTTGCGTGTGGCCTTATTTTAATATATGTAATGTAATTGGGGTGATAAAGAACTACATGCAATTAGCCCCCTACTTATTGATAAGAGTATTCTTGTTGATAAGCATAAATTATCTTTTCTTCTTAGTGCGTTTTGAGCTGCGGTGGATGAATTTGGATTTTTTACTCTTAGTGCTCGAAATCATACACCTTATTTGCTGGGATTTCAATATTGACTTGTTTGACAGATTCTTGACCAATCTGGTCCCCGACTTTTGGATTGGCATTCTCGTGGCCGTTGGGCTGTTCTTCTGGGGAAAGGTAAAGGTTGACTCTGCGAGCGGCTATCATGACTCTGTCGATAGAAGTTCATAGCCTACTCTTAGTTCTTGAAATTTCTACTCTTAGGAATGTATGCTCACTTGGTTGGGTTGTGTGAGCATTCCTGTTCCTGGGGTGCATGGTGGTGATATTTTTTAGTTTGGGTAGATTAGCCCCCTTGTATGCTTACCAATAAGCATTTATGCCTTCAATGCATCCTGGTATTATTTGGGCAACGTGTGGGGAGCAGTTTTTTCGAGTTCATCCTCCACCTGGTTGTTGATTTTATCTTCGGATTTTGGCATCGGTTGTTATGGTCATTGGGATTGGGGTTGATTGATTTTGTATACTCAGATCCCCTGTTGAAGTGCTTTCTATCGGGAAACATTTCAAATTTTGATCATTTGGCGAAGTTCTCCCCCCCCCGTTTCTCGATAGGAAGTGTTTTGTCAAAAGACAACTTATGATTTGATTTTCAACCCTTCTGTTTCGATAAGAGTCATTCTATCAAGAAGCATGAAAGGAATTATATCGAATTGTTAGCCCCCTGTTTCTTGATGGAAGGCATTCTGTTAATAAACATTCGAGAGAGGGAAAGATCGGGCTAAGTCTGTAGCCCCCCATTTGAATTCTTTTGGGGTTGGGATAAATATGCTTTGTCGAGAGGTGTATATAGGACCTCAAGCATATTGATATGTGTTAAATATTGCTAGAGTGTCCAAATGATCTTGCGGCACTGCTGATAAACATATGTTGTGATCGATATGTTGTTGATAGACTTGTTGGTGGGTTTCTAAAAAGTAGGAAAAGGTTCGAGGGTAGTTGTACAACTCTACATTTTGGTAAGTGAAGTATCAGGTAGGGGGAAAATATGGCACAAAGGATATAGGAAGCCCCCCATTAAGTATGCAAGATTTTGGAACATGCTAATGCTCTTGTGATGTGATTTGAGCATTTGTTGTGATTGCTTTGTTATAACATACTAATATTCTTCTAACAATAATATAATAGATCATTTATTTGAACTATGTGCGGTAGTCACGTAGTTTGGTTAATGTGTTGAAAGATTAACAGTCAATTGAAAATAGTGTTTTCCTAGCTAGTTTTGGTGTGAGACGGATGGTGTCGAAGCTCATTCATGCCAAGTTCTTGAACAATTGTTTGATTATAGTAATCTTTGCGATCAGCTATATTAAGGGAGAGTATGTCATCACACTCGGGGTTGCCAAGGGTTTCTTGGGTTTGCCAAGGTATGTCATCGCACTTGGGGTTGCTAGGGTATGCCATTGCACTTGGGGTTGCTAGGGTATGTCATCGCACTTGGAGTTTCCAGGGTACGTCATCGCACTTGGGGTTGCCTGGGTATGTCATTGCACTTGGGGTTGCTAGGGTACGTCATCGCACTTGGGGTTGCCAAAGTCTTCCTGGGGTTTCTAGGGTATGTCAACGCACCTGGGGTTGCCAGGGAATGCCATCGCACTTGGGGTTGCCAAGGCGTTCTTGGGGTTGTCAGGGTACGTCATCACGCTTGGGGTTGCCAAGGCCTTCTTGGGGTTTCTAGGGAATGCTATCACACTTGGGGTTGTCAAGACCTTCCTAAGGTTTTCAGGGTATATCATCGCACTTGGGGTTGCTAAAGCCTTCTTGGGGTTGCTAGGGAATGTCATCACACTTGGGGTTGCTAGGGTATGTCATTGCACTTGGGGTTGCAAAGGCCTTCCTGGGGTTGCTATGGTATGCCATCGCACCTGGGGTTGCCAGGGAATACCATCGCACTTGGGATTGCCAAGGCCTTCCTAGGGTTTCTAGGGAATGTTTTCGCACTTGGGGTTGCCAAGGCCTTCCTGGGGTTTCCAGGGTATATCATCACACTTGGGATTACTAAGGCCTTCTTATGGTTGCCAGGGAATGTCATCACACTTAGGGTTGCCAAGGCCTTCTTGGGTTGCCAGGGTATGTGACAAGCTCTTGGGGTTGCCCGGGTCTAGTAGACCAGGCCTGTAATGAGTAAGTTTCATTGGTGATTAATGCTTGTTGGATGAATATTTATTTAAAACTAAGTCTGAAAATGGTAGATGAATTTGGAATCATGCGAAATAAATGAGACATAATGATATATTTTGGGAAGTTGGTGCTGAAAACTAGTTTTGAAAGTAATTGTTTGGCTGAAAATACCATGCAGAAATAACATGTTTGGGAAATGATTTTTATGAAACAATTTTTTATTAAACTACTAAAATCTTGTATTGATTAGTTGAAAAAGGATTAATTTAAAATGTTGGGACAAAGTAATGCTTCATGCGATAAGTCGGTCTTGTATTTGAGTTTTGGATCATCACTATCATAGGCTAACACATATCAGAGGCAAGGTCAGTTAGTATTTAGATGTATGTAAGCAACACAACCAAGAATGTAAATTTCAGCCTATGACTAAGGTGCAAGCGGGGTTGGATGTGGTAGGTTGCCATCCGATCCTCAAAAAAAAGA